GAGAAGCAACAACCGCCCATGCACACCACGAGCCTAGCAACACTGGCTTTTTCCCGGCCAAGCCGCGGCCGGTACTCCAACCAAGCAGAACAGCAATTCCCCGGTCCCACCCCGACATGATCTCGGAGAAGCAACAACCGCACATGCACACCACGAGTCCAACAACAATGGCTTTTTCCCGGTCAAGCCACGGCCGGTACTCTAGCCAAGCAGACTAGCAACCCCCTGCCCCACCCCGCCATCACCACTCACCTGAGGGTACTGACCCCATGGAGGCAATTGACGGCGGGCGGCCCCGACGTAGCATTTCACATACCCCAAGGGCATCACATCACATGCCAGCCAAGCGAATGTACTAGGCTTGGGTACGCTTTGGGCATACATTCTGCCTGCGTGACGGACAACAACGATTAGAAGGAGCGCATGGATGTGCCATGGGGGTGAGCAGTGTGCATTGCCGAATCTATCAAAGACCCAGGCAATCGCACCCACATCCGCCATGCATATGGAATTTTTGTGCTGGAGTTCAATGTGTTTTAAAGCTCTGTGTTGCCCCGTGAACTTTGATAGAATTCTGTTGACCTCTGTGGGCCGGTCAGCGGTTCCGTTACAGGGGGCCTGTCCTCCGTGGGCTGCGGCACGGATTCTGTAACACGTGGTTCCATTCTGGAAGGTTGTGTGGATTTCTGTAGCCATCCATGCTGACGTCAGCATGGCCCCGCCCGTTTCTATTAGACACTTTTCTCTCACGGATTCCGTTGACTGTACGGAATTTTAATGGAGCCAACCAAATTCTGTTGGGGATGGACAGAGGGGGCCACCTCTACTGGGATCCCCCATTGCTTAGAGGTCTCCTGGTGGCTAAAGACCAGCCGTGGGATAGTTGCGTGCAACATAAGTTGTGCATTCAGCACAAATCTCCGATTAAGTTCCTTCCTGATGCAAGCAACCCCTCTTTCCAAACAGGCTTCAACCCTACCAAACATGATAATGAAGGGTTTGAATGCTCTATTGGAGACCCCACGTGTTGCTATGATAGCATTCTTGCTTCTTGCAATGGGCGAAGCTCAATTGTAGTGGCAACCTTGAAAATGGCGTGAATGGCGAGCGAAGTGTTTCTCGCGGCACGTGCCCACCATAGCCAGTTTCAACGATCTTCTGGCTGCCGCGCAGCAAGGGCACGATCACATTCTCCCAAACCTTGTGTGGTAGTCTTAGCACCCATGGTATCCTCGCCCATGGCAGGGGCCCTTTTTGCAAACGCCGTGATTGTGGGGTTCGCAAATTTTTGGGTCTCCGATCCGGAGTTGCTATCCTCATATGGCCATCAAAACCATGGTGGCGATCAAGGATCGAGCAGTATAGAACATGGTTTTGTGGTCTTTCCCCTTTGGCAGGAATGGTGTCGACCTACCACCAAGATGGCAGCAACAGATATCCACACAAGGCTGCGCATCGGTCGACTTTTTGGCCTGAATCGCAAGGGTTCAAAGTACTGCCATATGGCTGGTACTTACGCATTATCCACAAAAATTTGGCAGTATTTAGCAAATGTGTAGATAGTGCCTTGGTCTAATTTTGAAGGAAAACTAACAAATTTGTAATACAAATATAGCCTATTAAACAAATAGTTCATTTATTTGCAGACGGAGGAAGTACAATGCAATATTATACAAATGAACAAGGTTGGAGCCTTGCGCATTGCATGCATGGTGCTCCTATGGGGTAACCCGGCCCAGTGACTGGTGATGGACATTTGCAGTTTGTGGGGTTAAAGAGGCAATTGTCAAGCAGGGTTGCGTACAAACTCATGCAGAATCTGCAGAGCATATATGTCCCCTGGGTGTTGTGATTTATTACAACAACATTCATATTGTGATGCTTGCATTGTGTCATGCGTATGACGAGATTTTATGTCAGTCTACCACATGCCATGGGTGCCACTGAGCTAGGCACGATGTGTCGACTTGCGGTAAATTGTTCAAAGCATGACAACCTGAGTTGCATGTTTTGCCCCACGTTCACAACATTCCCTGTACCATACATTCATTCCATGTTGTTGTTGTATTGTACGCCATAAGGCTGGACATAAAAGCACGTTGTGTACATGGGTTCCTCTACTTAACTAGGCAGCATGGCATTGTGCAATCAGCCAAACTACCCACAAGTCCCTATGAGGCCCGTGAGGAACCACAGGTGTATATTGTGCTGGTGCCAAAGTAGATGCCAAAGTAGAAATGGTCTTGAGGCCTTGAAAGGGAGCTGAGTGAGAACAAGTTGAAAATGAGTTCAATATGTTCACCCACAATGAAGCACAATCACCACAATGCAATGTTTTTAAGATCAAGTCAAGCACACCAATGAGTGCACAAATCGGTGCACTAATCAGTGCAGCAACTTGTGCACCAATTGTGCAAAGTGGCTGAGTGTGCGATCAAATCTGGCGATTTGCAAAATTTGCATCTGGCCCATCTGCCCACTTTGGGGATCGAGTCGATCCTCGCTTGCCGAATGGCCGGGCAGCCTCTGAGGGTAGCGCGCTAGCCTTTGGTAGGCAAGGATTGCCTCGGTTCCCAAGGTGGGCAGATGGGCCGGCAGTTTTTGGCAACCCCCTTGCCCTCAACTTGCAACCCCCCCTTCCCACCCTGCCGTGTTCTATTGAGCGGTTGCGAGTGGCCACTCTCACGCGCCAGGTTGCTCCTTAGGATCGCCATGATGCCCAGCAGAATGCCTCTGTGGAACCTCTCCCTTTGGTGCTCCCTACATGGCCATGGTGACCGCAATTCCAAGCAAGCCGCTTTGCCCATAGATGGGCTCCCACAACTTTTGGCACAATGGGAATGGGTATTGTATTTGTTCTTTTTCAATTCCCGTTCCATTTCCGTTCCGTTCCTAACCCGTTCCGGCCCGTTCCAACCCCATTTTTGCCCGCTCCAAACCCATTCCGGCTGGGATTGTCACGTGGTGGGGCGTTGTGACTCCTGTCGGCCTTTGGGCGGCTCGAGTGAACAATGACCCTTTGGGCTGTGGCGACCCCGTGGGCACGGGAGGCATTCACAACGGTCCCGCACGGGAAAGATAAGTCTATCACTCATGACCCGAACCCATTCTTACAGATTGAGTGAGTGTTATTTATAGCTTGATGATGTGACGGGTCACGAATTGGTGTATATAGAATCCCCACTCTGGCCACTTCCATGAGTTGGCCGGGTTCGTGTTCGGTCGCCATGGCAACTTCCTATTCCCACCTCCCATACCAATTATGCACCATTGCCAACTAGCCCACCAGCTACCCATGCACGCTACCCACTCCCACTCTCCCTCACTCCCACACTTCCTCAGCTCCTTTTCCGGCCGCCATGCCCAACTATGAACCAATCCCAAAGCCGTCCCCATCCGTTCACTACAGCCAATTCCCCTTAATTGGCTTCTGTTGAAGTATAGCATAATAAATCGCGGTCGATTTCATCTATGCTCTGTTTATACTTCATTTTTGTTGCATGCGCTTCGTCCAAGAGTTGATTTGATGCTTAAAGGATTGTCGAGTCGGCCGGTTGTCATTGGCAACGGCGTTGGATGATCTAGCAGAACAACAGCTGTGGGTTGAATCAAGAGTAGTGATAGCTGTTATGCTTGAAAGGAACATTGGGTTATGTGACTATGTGAAAGAGGAGCTACAGGAACTACTTTCTTGAAAGGAACGCCCCATCACGCGCAGAATGACGGGCGATTCCCCTCCGGAGTCAGCCAGAGAAACGGCGACCACACATCGCCCCCTTTCGGCCTTCGTTCGCAGCCCGCGCTCGCTGCTGGAACCCGCAGTACCTCCACCTCGCAGCAGTCCCGTCCACGGTTTGCGATTCCTTCGACGCACCATGTCATGCGCCCTCTCTTTCACCTCCCGTCGCTCCCCGTCAACCCACGTTGCGCCAACGCCCTCACCGGCGTACGGGGTCCTCCGCCCACAATCGCACAGCCCTCTCGGGGCGTGTCAACCCTTCACCGCGCGCCTTAGTAAGGCGCCGGCGTGTGGAGATGCCTCACGTTCGGGGGCCGCGTCCGCACGCTTGCTAGTAGCTATCCCCTGCCGCGCAGCCTCACGGAAGCCACGCCTTCGGCGTCGGGGGCCTGCAATTTTCCAGGCAGTTCGGAAAGCTGCCTTGGGGCACTCGGAGCACGGAACCCAGCACCAACAAGGATCTGTTACAACGTCGCCATATCCAACTTTTGTATGCCAAACCGCACATCGTACATTCCCATCAATCGTTTCACACATTCCAGCTGTCAATGCACTCATGATTCAACCTGACAGCCGCACTTCCATCACAAAATCCAATATTCCTTTCAAGCATAATAGCTGTCACTACTCTTGATTCAACCCACAGCTGCTATTCCGCTAGATCGTCCAACGCCGTTGCCAATGGCAACCGGCCAACCCGACAATCCTTTAACCATCAAATCAACTCTTGGACGAAGCGCACGCAGCAGAAATGAAGTATAGACAAAGCATAGATGAAATCGACCGCGATTCATTAAGCTATACTTCAACACTCCCCTATCGTACATACTGCGCTCCCTCCCACACTCCCTCGGCTGACTCACCCAGCTTCGCCCAGCTGCCCCACCCCTCCCCGCAGCTCTGGCTGGCCGGGGCGCCTCTCCGCGTCCCCCCCTCGCCGCACCCCGCCGCCCTGTTGCCTTCCCACACAGCTGGCCGCCGGGTGGTTGGAGTGGGCAACCCTTTGACAAAGGGATGGCGCCCTTTTGGGCGCCCGATCTCGCCAGCCCCGGGGGCCAATCGAGGCCCCCGCGGGTGGCGGGATTGGGCACCCGGAAGGCGCCATTTTCTTGGCGAAAAGTAGCGCCTCACGGGCGCTGGATCCCGCCAGCCGTGGGGGCCAATCGAGATCCCCGCCGGTGGCAGGATCGAGCGCCTGCAAGGCGCTCTTTTCCTGGCGAAAAGTGGCGCCTCGCAGGCGCCAGATCCCGCCAGCCGTGGTGGCCAATCGAGGCCCCAGCGGGTAGCAGGATTGGGCACCCGGAAGGTGCCATTTTCTTGGCGAAAAGTGGTGCCTCACAGGCGTTGGATCCCGCCAGCCGTGGAGGCCAATCGAGACCCCCGCGGGTGGCGGGATTGGGCCCCTACAAGACGCTGTTTTCTTGGCGAAAAGTGGCGCCTCAGGGGCAATGGATCCCGCCAGCCGTGGGGGCCAATCGAGGCACTTTAGGAGGACGCAGCAGTGGGGGGAATGCAAGGGCATTTGCTCCACAAGCTCGCGGCTCCCCCCCCCGTCTCCACGCCCAGGCCTCCACAGTCGGGGTGGGGTTATCAGCGGTGGTGGCATTCTCGCACGCAAGAATCAGCCCCCGAAACAGTTTCCCCCTCCTTCCCGCCTCACGTGGCACCCACCACGTCGGGCCAAGCGGCGACCCCGCAAGGCCCCACGCCTCGACTGCGCCTGCTCGCCCACAGTCCCCCAGCCCTCCCAAGCACTTGGGAGGGGCGCGGGCACCTTGCTATTGCAAGACCTTGACGCCAAGCTCTGCCACTGTCCATTTGGTGGCCATGGTGAACATAGCTTTGCAGGCATGGTCCCCAACCGCTGCTCCACACACGTGATGCAGGCGCGGAGGACGGCCCGGGGAGAGCTCCTCCCCCGAGGTTGCAAAGCTTGTGCGGTGCCCACTCGCCCCAACCACGGCTACGTCGATTGGCAACCGGGAGTGGCGGAGTGGCCCAGGAGGCGGATGGGCTGATCAAGGCCTGCCGATGTTGGTGGGAATGAGCGCCCACTCCCGCCACCCGTGGGCACTCTTGTCGTGGGCGAGTTGAGGCCCACAGTCTATTATGCCGTTATGCTTCTGAGCGCCTACCGGACACGACGACTGACAGATTGCCAGCCTCGTTGAAGCCCCAACAGGCCGCCCCGCGCCCGCGTGCGTTTTGATCGCCGCAAGCCTCGCAGAACTATCGCCCGCGACAAAGTCATCGGCTTGACGGCGTAGCCCTCCACTAGCGCGGGCGCGGCCAGCCGTTCGCCCTCGCCTCTTTCCCATGGGTTTGGGACGACCCAGAGGCGCGAACGCCCGGCGGCAGTGCATTACGTAGTACTATGGTTGAGTCACGCGAAATATAATTCCAGTAAGGGGCCGGTTTAACATTTCCGTGGATTCCTTGTCTATGCATGCATTGTTAATTGCACAAGGGGTAATCAGCACCATGCACTCAATTAGTCAATTTGCAATGGTTCAAGCTCAATACCACACAAGCAAAACACATAAATGATGTGCAACCATGATGCAAGATGAAAACAGGATGACGACATGCATTGGCTATTTGTGGGTTTCAAAGGAAGCAATGCGAACCAAACCAATGTCTGCAATTCATGCACTCACTGAGTTACTCTTGAAATCGATGTCCCAAAGTAGACTGGGCGCCATCTGGGATTATGCATCTCTAATAGTCTTCTCGCAAGCCTAATGGGAGGTGTTGTAGTGGGATCACAGAGAAACAATTCGTTCACCTGAAACACATAACTCCAGTATTGCGACACCATGTTGTGACAATTGGTCTTCCAATTGAGTGGGTCCAATATCATGCAGGCATCGTAGCAAAAATGACATGATCTAAGTTCTTGGCTTGCTTACAACTGATGGGTTGCAGGCTTGGTAACCAATAGAAAGAGTTTCAAGAGCTAGCTGAAGTGCATGGCATGCGAAGAACATTGCAAAGCTACACAATCACTTCCTTGTTCGGAGTGCCTTGGCATATTTGTGCGCATTAGAATGGCGTGGTCATCAACTTGCAATGCAGGCCAAAATCCCAAGTTCAACATATACGATGCATTATTTTGGCAAATTTTGACACAAAATTTTAAACATTATTGCGCAATACATACACGTTGCATCAATTGATTTACAACACAAGCACTTCTTTCCAAATCATTGTGCTTGAAAACAGAATCAAAGAACTACCCAACAAAGTTGTTGGAATTTGGGAGCATTGTCAATTACTTCCTTTGTCCCACAACAAATACCCCCAAGACATTACATTACTATTCTTGTGTTAAGGCATAATAAGATCTTCATGAAAACTCCTCTGCATTCATAATTGTGAGTGTAGACAATGATGCATAAAATTAGACCCAAACTTCATAAGCTCTTGGAGCCGCCAAAATTGCCAAGATAATGTGGACCTCTTTTAGTACCTCTTCCTTGAAACCATCTTATGCAGGATGAGCGCACCGATCCTTACACTAATTGCGTTGCCAATACTGTGATCAAGTGCTAGGTTAAAAGGCACCATGCACCATAGCATTTTAAAGCAACATTGGGAAATTTTACCAAATTCAGCCCTTTGTTTACCTGAAGTGTAATATAGAGGTCTGACAAATCAACAATAAGTCCATTCAAGAGGGTGTTTGCTCATTTGCACCAATGCACAAAATGCCGAAAGATGCAACAAAAACATGCTTCTTAGTAGGCGTTGATACTCACAGAGTGCATCACATTATTATCTCTATTCTAAAGTCCAGTTGATTTCCCAGTCGCACTACTACTTTTCAAGATTGACTCACTCTGTCAATCTGTCACCACATGTGGATTCCATCGCTGACTTTGAATTGATATGGATCTTGACTATATTAGTCACCACTATACATCAAGGGATTCACAACCTTATCAACAACATCCATGTCTATTTTGTTTGGGCCTCAATTCCCTGCATTGCTGCTATTGCCTTAGGTTGGTGTATGTAGCCTGGTATATGTTGGGCCTTGCAACCCCCAAAGCTTTGGAGTACTCTTTGTAGACAATAAATAAGAACAACTACACCCTTTCAACATTTTCGATATGACTACCATTATAATCTTAGTGGACCACCACTTCCACCATGCCAAATCACCTTTCAAGATTTTCATTTTCAATGATTGGCCATATTGGCCTCAACTTCGGTTATATATTTTGTTAGCATCAGCATAAACAGCCTTCCAAACCTTGTCGCACCTGCCATGTTGATGTTTTTGTGGTGACGGAGGTGTCATTTGGTCTTTTGTGACAACCTTTTTATAGATTCTGCCTGGAATCGTGTTGCATCTTCAATGCATATCAAACCACCAAGCCATGCCTCTTCCCCAGCAACTGATCAGCTCAAGCCACCACTATTGAGCAGCAAGACAAACTCACCATGCCCCTTTCAGGTTCCGACAAACAGCAACAGCCCATTTGAGCTTCTCTTGACATATTACAAGACCGGCAGCACCATGTGCTATGCTAAGGGTACTGTGGATTGCTCTCAATATGGCACATCCAAATTGTTTTGGTCAATTTTCTGACTCGCACATTTTGACCTCTGTTTGCATGAATAAGAAAACAGAAATGAGTTTTGGAACCGGGGCAGTGTGTTCTCATTTCTGTCTTGCATTAGTTGCCCATGTAGTGGCATATCTTTAATGAGTTCTTCAGATCGACCTGGGGTAATGGAGCAGGTCCAACATTCCACAAACAAGCCCAACTTTCAAGTTCAATTGAAACCTTGAAATTTGAGAAATCAAGTTGAAAGTACTGACAATGATGATTTCAAGCTTGGAAGTTGTCACCTGTGGGCTCTCCCAAAATGATCCTGTTCTAATTCTGCATGTGACTATTTGTTTGTAGTCTTTCCCAAGGTGGGTGGCCCACCATTTTTTGCTATGCATTAAATGCATAGGAGAAATGAAGCAAATTAGCAAACTTTTGGCTTCATTGTCACAGTGCCATAAACATAACATTTGGCCTTTTTGCAAAGCAGCACCAATGATGCAATGATGCCAAAACAAAATGTGTAGCAGCCAAAAAAGTGATGCTGGACTGGGCATAAGAGAAGCTGGGCTTGCCAAAACCTGCTCTTCCATAAGGTGACCATGCTACACCCAAAAGGCATCTGCAAGCCCCCTTTGCTATGGCCAGATGGCTCAGCCAGGGCACGAGGTTCTCTAGGAAGCTAGCAGTGTTTGGTGGTCGCTGATGCACGAGTGGCTGCACCTGAAAACATTTAGAGGCATGCAAACTGGGCAGAGTCGGCATTTTGGGAGTGCCCACAATGCGCTGCGTGAAACAAATAAGTAATTGTGTGTCAAAAGAATGCAGAGTAAAATCATAATGCTGAATTTCAACTGTACAATGGTTCAATATCCTACATTAAGGTAAATGTTGGCTTCAAGCTGCACATAACAAACACGAATAGGACAATATACCAAATGTAAAGTTCATACTGCGAATTTCATGCCAAGTAACACATGCAATGTTGTGCCAAACAGGCATTGACTTGAAGACCGCAAGTTTACAGGATCACCATGGAAATCCATGTTAATACTTCCCTCATGCAATATGATGCAAGTCATACAAGTGGGCACAGGGCATACATCAGTGGCAAGCAAGGGGGCAAGCACGGCTATTGCGCACCTGAAAATATGTTCCATTCAGGGGGAACTTGCCTCGCAGAGCTGTTCGACAAGGGATGAGGAGCAGCATGGGAATTGTGTCATTATCTGCTTTGACACTTGCAGGACGACATCCTGGGCCATCACAAGTTCGACCATCCTGTCTTCCACCACCTTCAAATTCCTGATTTCTTGGGTCTGGAATGAGCAAGTAAGGATTGGGATCCTCAGCCAGCCGCGGAGGAAATGAAAATGGGACAATCCGCTCCAATGCACCATCAGGAAAGCATGCCCCAAAAACAACCTTCCTAGAGTGACAGGGATCTCCCTGTTCCCAGCGAACACCAACCACAGATGACTCTCCTACCCCAGAAGCCAGCTCTTGAGTCAGCTCGTTCAGTACAGCATCACCATCTCCAGGCGTTGAGCCTGTGCTGCTGTGCAATGCCTTGAATGCATCAGTCAACACAGAAAATGCCATACCTGCCAATGGGTGTAGGCACTTGTCTGGATGAATGAGTTTCGAGATTCTGCGGTATTCGCTTCTCAGCTGTGCCTGATCAATTCTGTGTCCAGAATTGATGCCTACAATTTTCATAGCCAATGCCACGCCTACATGCCCTCCAAGTGCATCTTGACAGTGGACCTTATCCAAAATAACATGTGACTCCTGTTCCTCCAAGATAGATATGATTCTTTGTACCTCGGCAGTGTTGCATTGAAGTCTGTCACTTCCTGCTGGCCCTGATGCCTGTTGTGTTCCGCTTCCATCTTCTTTGCCAGCAGGAGATTTGCTGACTTGTGGCTGTGCAAAGCGAAGTCCATGTTCCGGCTTGTCATTTTGACATGGCTCGGTTTTCAGCTGTCTATCAGAAACGTGCCTGTCTTGCCTGTCTGCAGTGGTTTCGCATTCCTTGCGCGATTCTTCACCCTTGGGCACATGAACCATGGTTGAACAAGCTGCTGCCCCACGAACACTGAAGAAGTCTTCAATGTCAGGTACTTGCCGATACACCATTCCACCTGATTTCAAGGTCGACGCCTGTGACGGCAGATGCTCGTTTGTGAATGAATGGTCGGCCAATCTCTGGGCAACAGTGCCTGTGCCTGCACACTGTGGTTCCTTCTGTCCCAATTCGTCTTTGTGCATTGGCTTTGCCGTCCTTCTGGTTTTGTTGGATTTAGGTTTTCCCGGGTACCTGTTTTCCGGTTGGTAGTGCTCACCTCCATTCAATGCATACTCGCATGAGGATGCCAGAGGGCATGCAAGGCAATTCGGCTTTCTCTTTGTGCACAATACTTTGCCCAGTGTGATCATGTGGTAATGGAGCTCATACAAAGTGGGAAAATCGAATGCCATTGCCCGTGAATGTAGATATTTTTGAATCTCCATGGCACTAGGATAATCTTCGAGCTCCTCAATTCCCGCTTGTGCCTTGGTACAATGCACACAACACTCACAATCAAGCTCCTTATTTAACCATGGCCTCACATATGATGCTGACTCTACCATTCCACCAAAATTGTTTCCAGTTCTAGCATCTGCATGGTGTCGATGAAACATACACAAAGCAGATTGTCTGTCATACTCAGTGATTCACACCCACCTCAAGAGGAACCCAGCCAAGGCGTGTACAGATCCGTGCCACATTGATATCCACAGGGAAGTCCTTCCTCCCTAATGCAAGAAGTGCCACACAGGCACAACTCTTCCATCCTAATCCTGCAACAGACGTTAGAAATTGTTTCATGTCTTCATCCCCAACATCTCTAAGCCATTCAATCGACAGGCCTTCTGCAGAATGGCTCAGATTGTTTCTGTCAGGTGGCAAAGGCCTTGGGGAGGCAGAGATGCTTTGGGGGCTTGAATGAGGCACCAGATGCCCTTCAGTTGTCTCTTGCTTCTTCCAAAGCATTCTTTCCTTCCCAACCTCACCCTGTTCCTTTCCAACATGAGCCAGAAATGCCTTGATCCTTGATGTCAACCTGTTGTGCATTCCACGGCACCTGATGCAGTTGGCCACAAGCTCTTTTGGAGCTGCGCACACTGCCTCCCAATTCACAACATCTGAAAAATCCCCACTGGATGGGGCGGACAAAGGTAGATGATAACTCTCACACAACAACACATCGTGCTCACGTGTGCCTGGGCCATTCTCGATGCATTGATGGTGTCTTGCACACATTTCATTTGCACACCCACAATCCACAGGCGGACAATGAGCCAGCTGACAGCTGTTGTGCACCACAGCATGATCCCCATGGACGTGTTCAGCAGATGATCCATCTGTCATGCGTGCTGCTGGTTCTTGTGCACGAGAGTGATGCCGGGCTGTTGTCTGATTTCTGTCTGATCTACATGCCCACTTCTGGACATGCTGTCCTCCACATTCACGATCAGCACAGTCACAAAGCAGGTTGGGTGCTGTACGCTGTTTGTGCCTGGCTGCTCTTCTTCTGACCGCAGGGAATTGGCTAGAAAGCATCATAAAGGCCTTGCTGGACAGGGTGTCAGCAACATTCTGTGTCAGGAATGCCCCCACCACTGAATCCAACACTGAGCCTCCCCATGGCATGGGTCCCATTCGCCTATCACCAAGAACAATCCTGGGAAACAAAACCAAGATTCATTCAAATTAGATCTTTTCTTTTTACAGTTCTAAACCGTACAGATTAGGATGAAACACACATGAAGCATGGAAACTGAATGCGGCAGATAGCAACACCCAGACAAAGCCCATGAATGTGTACTCCAATGAAACGAACAGAATTTCAAGTTCAAGTTTGCTTATGCCATATAGTTAAAGAGCAGCTCATCAATATGAATCTTTGATCCAATAGCAGTGGGAAGGCCTGGGCACACCTCATTTTTCCAAGGAAGTCACAAATCCTCCTTGTCCACTTGAGCTTTTCATCTTGGCCATACACAATCAACGAAAGAGAGCCCTCTTTCAGCACATGAGCACGGCGCTGGCGCTTCAATGGTGGCACGTTTGCTGCAGGGGAATCATAGGTCCTTATCAAAAATGTGCCAGCATCAACAAGAAGAATGTGAGCATGACAACGACATACAATTTGTTGGTTAGAAGCAACTGTGCAGATCACCTCTCTGGAGTTTGGCGAGCTTCCTCTTTTCCTTCCTTTTTGCCCTTGCTGCCCGGGCAGCAATGGCTTTTTCCTCGGCAGCTGCAACCTGGGGGTTGAATGAGGCAATAGTATGCTCCAACATACCTGGCAAGTCGTTGGCTGCCACATCTTGGGAGGAGAACACATTGCATTCTATGTCCCGAAAAAGTGGGATTCCGTTCAGCTCATTTGCTCTGATAGCATGCAATGCTGAAGATTCTGGTACGACATCGCAGTCTATCGCTGCTGTAAAGTCTTCCCACATGAATGGTACAGTCGAGTCATAGCAGCCATCGACCTCAAGATCTTGTACCAGTGGGTTGCATTGTGTATTCAAATCCAAACCAGCAAGGGAAAGCTGCTGCTGATATTCGCTATCAAAAGGCAGCAGCACATCCACTGGCAACTCAAAATGAGAGCATCCAACAAGATCGAGGAAGGGATGTCTTGATATCCCCAAAGAAACAGTGGAAAGGCGAGGCACGTATGTTCCAATTGTCCCTTGCCGATCACACTCTCTGGAGTCGACAATCTCAGGCCGACTGAACTCTGCACTCCCCATCACAGGTAAACACTGAAATGCCCAAGTGAATTGACGATGTGCTCCACTCTCCAGAGTCCTACTCTGTGTCCACTGTGCCAGCGCGCAAATGCCTCGTATGCAACACCTGAATGGAGGAACATTCAACAGCTGGGAGCCTAAAACACGGAGAATATTGTCCAACAAAAACGTCTGCCACGATCATATGATTTGGGAGTATTTGTTCTCAGCACATTCCAAAAGCCCCCGTGCCTCCCTGGGATTAAGTCTGTGCGATCCGCAGTTGCACAGCAGCAGGTTCCAGTGCTTCTTTGCACACCCATTGGCCTTCCAGGGACAGGCATGCAGGCTGAAGTGTCTCAAGGTCTTCGTACGCACGCCGTTCATGGATTGGCAGGAGCCCTTCTTTGAAATGCCAAGTACGCGTAAGAGTGAACCACAACGCGAGGGTTTGAACGATACGGAATACGAGCACCGCATGGGACTGGGGGAGTCTAATGGTTGTTTGCGACAGAGCCAACAGCCAACGGCAATATCCACGTGGAGGGTGCCTGTACCGGCAATTGACGATGTTGGATCAGACCCACGCCACATCGGTGCCAGTGCAGTCACTGTCCGCCTTCTCTGCGGACTGCAAAGATACAAGAGCGAAAAGCAGGCCAATTTTCTGTAACTTATTCCCAAGTAAGAAACACGATACTGCGACAGCGCCCTAACCATGGAGCTTTCTATACCATACCCGGCATGTCAAGTTGAATTAGGCATCCCACAAGCTTCGTCCTTTGATCGAAAGTGACGAAGTCCGCTTTTCAAACATCCCCTGCCCTCAGCATTGGCAGCACAACGCTCTTTGCAACAAAGCGCCCCAATCGCAAGACCAGGCCTTGGAAAGCCCTGATGTAGAGGTTCGACACGTGACCACCTGCCTACAGCAACTGTGGCCACCCTTCCCTTGCGGCCTTGTCGCCCTTTACCATTCCCTCTTGTCCCAGGGGAGCAAGGTGTCCTGCGGCCCTTCAGACCAGTCACCGGGCAACCGATGTGGCAATAACTAAAGTTGACAGGTCAGCAAGACCTGTGGTATGAAACCAGGTCAGTGACAAATTTGGCCATGTGACGATCTAACAAAAGTGTCGGAACCTGTCGGAAGAGGCGAAAGTGTTGCCACATCTACGTGCGATGGGGTTGACTGAAAAGATATGGTGTGACCTTTGCCTACCTATTAACTTGCGGCCCACCCTAATGGGCGCAAGCTAGGCAATGGGGTGTGGGGCAAGAAATAGTCTTGCTCTTGGATAGGACTAGTGTAGGGGCCATCCATGCTGCCTGAAAGCGGTGCTTGGATTGCTGACCCACACAAACAAATGGAGAACCGTTCGTCGCTCTTGGGGTTGTTCGATGGCCATTACGTGTGACTGCCTAGTGCGGCTGGTGAGTCACGGTCATGTTTACATTTTCGAGAGAATGTGCCCAATCCAGATCCCCAAACAAAGGGATCCCAGAGACACACAACAACCCACTACTACTCCAGCTGCAAAAATACAGGTCAGCTGAAAGCAAATTGGACTAGTACTTGGGCCGGCAATCACGCCTGTCACAGGCTGCGACGCGATTGGTACGGTGTTCCTATTTTGCCTGGCTTGACTACGCCGTATGCGCTCAGAGTTCCACAGAAAACTGAGTTGTCCCTTAATGCAGGCAATTTCCCTGGCTATACCAGCCAGCTGTAAGCCTTCACCGCGACAGTAAATTACACCAACACTGTTCACACACCAGTTACGCGCACCGGCCTGATGTGGGGGACGCCCTACTACTGGCCCTTGGTGTGGGGGACGCCCTGCCCAAGATAACTATCCTCAACCCATAGTAACCACTCTAGGTATTAGGATACGGGAGTAGGAGGGGTGGTCCTGCCTAGGTCCCTGTAAGGACCTAAGTGCCCGGCGAGGCGGGTCCGCGGCTCAAAGAGGGCAGGAACCCCACACCCACAGACTTTACGTATCATTTGGTTTCGGAGCCACCTGGGGGTGGCTACCATGCTTCGACGCGCAAGCTCGGAGCAGTGGGCTCCCTCCCCGGCCTCCCCCATGGAGGCCGAGGAATTGGACCCTGAAGCCCGGAAGGGCAACCCCGCATCTTCGGGTGCGGAGGACGATTCACCCCGGAAGGGGACGCCGACCAGTTCGGTCGGCGAAGACATTACAGCCCGGAATGGGCAGGGAAAGGAAGAAGTCCGGAAGGACATAGCCAGCCCATCGTCGCGACAAGATGAGCCGGAAGAAGAAGACCAGCCGATGGCCGAGGCGGAAGAAGCTCCAGAAGAGGAGGTGCCAGAACCGGGTACGGTGGCGGCTCTGCTGCAGGCGCCGGGCATCATGGAGCTTCTGGAGAAAATGGCGGCCACGGCGGCTCAACAAGCAAGGGCGAAGCGGGACGAAGAGACCGCTGAGAAGATCCTCACCCTTGGGATCGAAGCGGACAAGGCGAAGAAAGAGGCCCGCAAAAACGAGATCGCCATGAGGAAGGCGAAAAAACTGAGCTGCCAAGCGGAAGAAGCCAAGACCGCCACGGAACAACATGTCGCCCAGCTGAGTGATCGCCTACTGAAACAGAAACTGTGGGCTCAGGAGGCAGAAAAAAAGTTCGCTCAACAGGCGAAACAACCCAAAAAGAGTCCTGGTCCATCTGAGCTGTTGCCGAGGATTCCAGAAGTGGAGAGCGACTGGAAGACCGTCGGCAAATAGCGGCCCAAGCGGAAGAGCCCGTCGCCAGGTGAGACGGTGCCGAAAATTTGGACAAGTGAGAAAAAAGGCCGGGAGGTCCAGCCCGTTGGGCAAATGGCGGAGATCGGAGGCCGGAAGGTCGAGACCCATGAGCCAAGGGTCAGGTGCACCGGAGGACACCTAGTGAACTGGAGCAGAGTAGTGACGAGTCGCTCACAGAAAGCGCTCGCGCAGTATGTGGACCTAGTCCAGAAAGGCCGAAAGGTCATGATTGAAGTCCCCGGAGACCTGCATTACCGGAGTGGGGGCCGGGAGAAAGTGCCAGGGTGCTGGAATTCATTCCGGACACTGGTACGCCATATAGTCGGCAACCGCCATGCCGAGCTATGTGGACTAAGTTCCACAGTGATCTTGTGGACGAGTTGGATGAAGGCTGGCAAATGGCCGCCAAGAGATTTGAAGAAAAGCTAACCACCGCGAGATTGGTGAGAACCCAGAGGTGGTATGGTCCTGGAATGGCAGATCAAATTGCCAGAGAGGACCCGAATTGGCCGGAAAAAATGGCCTTCGCGCTCAGACATATTCCCGAACCTTGGGATCTGAGCGAGGGAAGTCCAGAAAGGCTGGATCCCAACGACCCCCACGAGCGGTGGGAGGAGATCTTGGAATTATTGTTCTCTTCATGCGCTTCCCCATTGCCGGGAGATATATCGACATGGGCGCAAGTGCATAGAATGGAAAAAGAGAGACGGCATATGCGAAACCGGGATCGGTTCGCTCGTGCGAGGAAATTGGACGAGCGAAAGGCGCGAAAAGCCAGCCAGCAAAGAGAGCTGAAAGCTTTGCGACGTGAGCAGGATCGTCAATTAAATCCGCAAAGATATGAGCAGAAGAGAGCTCACAAACGACAGTGCAAGGCTGAGATCAGATGGTTTTTTGCTGCAGGAGGCAGCCAAAAGGCACAGCGCCTTGAGGCAAAGCCGGTGGCCAACGAATTGGATCCGGCCCAGCAAGCAAAAGCTTTCGCTGAGCTTAAGAGGGCCCCACCACGGCAGACGGCCAGATGGGCTGATGAGTGGAGTGGAAGTGATAGTGGGGTAACCCACCCCGCTCGATTCATCCCTCAACAGCCTGGAAAGGCATCGCCTCCAGTTGAGGAGACAAGGGTCCCCAAGGAGGCAACATCTTCTAAGGAGGAGAAGAAGCCTGAAAAGGCATAGATGCAGCCTGGAAAGGCAAGGGAGGAACTTCAAGGAACTCAGAGAGTAGTTCCAGGTAACATTGCCGATGCAGTGTCTCCCAGTAACCTTGCTGTGAAAACACACTTGTGTACATGTGCAGAAATTGAAGATTCTGCTGGACATGACGAAGTTGTGTATCTCGGTTCAACAGGGGAGCCGGCAGAACCTATTCCTCTGGAGAGGAAGGAGGTTTATGCTGCTGTGCAAAGGCAAGAAACAGCCTTGGAAAAGGCAAGGGCAGAAGCTGATAAGACTGCCCAGCTGCTGGCTGTGATGGGGGAAGAGGATTACGCCGAGTTCCTGCAGTTTTAGGAGTCTCGACGTGCAGGCCGACAGGCCAAGGGAACTCCCCCCGGTGAGAGCAGTTCTGGACAGGAACTCAGTGGCATTAAATATCTGCCTGGGAAGCCTGGTCCAGGATACCAGCAACGCCGATCACAGCAGCTCGGAAAAGAGCAAGGCCGACCTCAAGTGCCCCATGAACTGCCCCAAAGACCAGCTCCCGTGGTGCATGCCCCTGTGATACAGGATGCCCATGGGTTCTGGGATACGCTCGGGGCGTTTCATGACCTATTCGGTGGTGTGTACTACAAAGGGTACTACCACCCATGGGGAGCCTGGGCACCATACAGGGCCGAGATCCCAGTAGCTGCACTGCAGTGTATTCCCGCCAAACTGCGCGGGTTATTCGATGCACAACAGACTGCACTGGGAATCTATGTGCCCGGAAGCCAGGAGGCGGCTACAGAATGGCGGGCCGTGTATAGCACTGGCCGAAGACTGCAGGAGGAGGAGCCCGTCAGGGTACAGATGGGGCCTAGGGTGCAGGCTGGCCCCTTAGCACCGGTTCGTTCAGTGGCTCAGCCAGGAATGGCGCCAAGACAACCGGCGATGCCTTTTACGACGGGCCAGTCTGGGCCAAGGGGAGCGCAGCCTCAGTTGCCGTTTACGCAGCAGAAAATACAAAGGCTGCAGAAGATGTCTCCCTTTGCCCAAGATCTGACGGCCTATCCGGCTCCTCAGTATCATCAGCCCGGAAGGGTACAACAGCCCGAAA